AGGTTGGAGAGATAGCACAAGAGTTGAGGCACTTCACTTGCATTCTGCTGATCCTAGCTTGACTGGGAGCAATGCCCTGAGCACTGAGTGGAGAGTAGCACCCTCCCCTCAGCAGTTCTGGGTGTGGCACTCACCGTTAAACAGAAAATATGATGTGCCTGAAATGAATGCAAATAAAGTTTAAAGTAAAAAAATAATAAAAGATGTACACTTTTTTAAAGTTTGAAACACAAAGGAACATGTCAAATTATACCATCACCATCCACACTTGTTATGATCTGCTGACCCTGATTCCCTGAAGATTTTTCTTTCTTGACTCACTTTCAATCCCTCCAACACTCTTCTTCAGTGAATTCAGTATCCACAGTTATGTATGTGTAATCCATGTAATCCATAAAGTAATACCTGGCCTGACCTTGACTTTCTCCTTCAGTAATCTTGTCCTATGTATTTCAGCCCACAATTCTCATAGCTATTCCTTGAAAATTGTCATGACAATTACTTAACAACTCTTCCATAATCTCAAACATCTCCCTTTCTCCCTTTGGCATTATCAATTGTTCTTTACTGCATACTGCCTATGACAGCCAAATACGGAACAACCTCCAATTCTAAAAGTAAAATCCACTTAGAATATATGTTCCCTTCAACTAATGCAGCTTTTTTCTGATATCAGCAAATTCTTTCCAAGTGAGGTTTATTGTTATTGATTCTCAATCTCTTTCCTCTACTAAAACCAAGCGTTTGCCCTGTGATTCTACCAACATGAGACTTTTCAAGGTCAGGATGACCTTCACATTGCTAGATCCAGTAATTCATTTTCCATTTTCTCACTGCTAAGGCTTTCAGTAGCACTTAATATAGTTAAGAGTTCTTGAAACATTTATTTGAAGAGAAGGAGGTTTGGGGAGGAATGTCAAGAGCTCATTCATAATATGAATCTCAATTACTTAGAATAATGTGTGTCAAAAAAAAGATCTCTGGCACGCAGTCTACATAAAGTAAAGTAAAACATTGCTGAGAAATAATGGAGAAAGGGGGAATCTGGAAATTTATCTTAAAATTGAGTTCTGGGTCCAGGGTGGGACATATTGCTCATACATAGAAGGCCCAGGTTCAATTCCTGATGCCATATAGCACCCTGAACACTATATGGTATCAGGGAAGTGACCCCATGCATCAAGCCGGAACCAGTTGGCACTGTTGGATATGGCCTAAAGTCAAAACACACACACACACACACACACACACAGACACACAAGTTCTATAATTATAAAAGTGAGTTTACTTATTTTGTACACAATAAAATTTAAGTCGCACAAGGGTACAAAAATCTTAGAATAAACTAAAATAGTATTGAATTTTTAAAATTCTCTTTAAAAGATTACCTCATTATACAATATGACATCTTGTATTTGACAAAAGTTTTTGTAAAGTCATCATAAAAATAATAATTTTAGGGGAATTATCTAAAATAGATTCTTTTTTTTATGTGTTCATTTCTTTTTTTTTCTTTTACAAATTTTTGTGCTTGGGTTTCAGTTATACAATGATCAAGTACCCATCCCTCCACCAGCACCCATCCTCCACCACCACAGGTCCCAGTATCCCTCCCACCCCCCCATCCCCTCCCATCCCACCCTGCCTCTGTGGCAGGGCATTCCCTTTTGTTCACTCTCTCCTTTTGGGTGTTGTGGTTTATCTAAAATAGATTCTTAATCCTTCTGATTCTTTTTTTTTAAAATCATACTCTTGCTATATCTATTAAAGAAGATTCTTGTGGGATTTCTTTTTTTAAATATTTATAAAGGACAATAATAAAAGAAGTAATCATCCATATCAAGAGAGGGGTTCGGCAGGGTGATACCATTTCACCAAAACTCTTCAGTGCCACCCTCGAGAACATCATGCGATGACTAGAATGGGAAAACATGGGAGTGAAGATAGATGGTCGGCAACTACACCACCTCCGCTTTGCTGATGACATCGTTCTAATAACACCAAACATCAGCCAAGCGGCACAAATGCTTGCGGACTTTGACCGTGAGTGTGGAAAGGTCGGACTACAGCTGAATCTTACGAAGACAATGTTTATGAGAAACAGCCTTGTTCCTGACGCTCCATTCGCTCTCAACGGAACCACCATCTCCGAATGCAACAGTTATATATACTTAGGTCGAGAAATCAACATGATGAATGACCTGGCACCTGAGTTACGCAGGAGGAAGAGAGCGGCTTGGAATGCCTTCAAGAGCATTGAAGAAATAACTAAAAGGACAAAGAACCTCCAGCTACGAGCACATCTCTTTGATTCCACTATTCTTCCTGCATTAACATATGCCTCAGAGACCTGGACCCTACGAAAACAGGATGAGAACACTATTCGGGTCTCTCAAAGAGGAATTGAAAGAACTATGCTTGGAATATCACGATTCACTCAAATGAGAGATAGAATCCGGAGTTCTGATCTTCGTCAACGCTCAAGAATCAGGGACACTGTCTCATTTGCCAAGACATCAAAAATCAGATGGGCTGGACATGTAATGAGGTTTACAGACAACCGCTGGACTAGAGCCATTACTGATTGGATTCCACGAGACATCAAAAGATCACGTGGACACCCACCTATAAGATGGTCAGACTTCTTCGTCAAGACCCTAAATGATCGGTTTGAGGCTCTACATGTTCCTAAAACGAACAGATACCATTGGGCTACGCTAGCATGCAACCGGGATGAATGGAGACGTTACTGGCACCCGCTCGAATAAATCGATGAATAACGGGGATTAAGTGATTAAGTGATTAATAATAAAAGAAGAGTATCAAGCACATAAGTAAATAAAAAAGTAAAATAGTGAAAATGTAATTAAAATTTAAAAGGGTGAAAAGAGACATTAAAATAATGAAAGAATTAAGGTAAAGGTAAAGGTAAAGGCCCTCCTGTTGATCGTGGATTTGCTCGAGCGGGCCCAGTAACGTCTCCATTGGAGACATTGTTGTTACTGTGTTTGGCATATCGAATACTCTCGGTAGCTTGCCGGGCTCTCTGAGAGGGGCAGAGGAATCGAACTCGGGTCGGCCATGTTGGCCGCTTGTAAGGCGAACGCCCTACATGCTGTGCTGCCTTGCACGCAGCCAACGTGGCCGACCCGAGTTCGATTCCTCCGCCCCTCTCAGAGAGCCCGGCAAGCTACCGAGAGTATCTCGCCCGCACGGCAGAGCCTGGCAAGCTCCCTGTGACGTATTCGATATGCCAAACACAGTAACAACAAAGTCTCCAATGGAGACGTTACTGGGCCCGCTCGAGCAAATCGATGAAATGAAAGAATTAAAAGACGAAAATTTAAAAAATGGAAATTAGGAGGCGAGAGAGATAATATAGCAAGTGAAGTTGGCTGCCTTGTATGCAACCAACCTAGGTTTGATCTCCAGCACCAGCTCTGGTACTTGAGCCTAGCCAGGAATAATCCCTGAACACAGAGTTAGGCATAAGCCCTGAGCACAGTCAGTTGTGACCCTCCCCCTCGCATACTTTAGTATATCAATATATCTAAAAATATGCTTTTATAATGCCTGGGGATAGCCCAGTGGTGAAAAGTTCATCCATAAATTTGATCCTTGGTGCTGCCCTGTGAAAACTAAAGTACAGGCAGCTCTTTGTTCTCCCAGAGTGAGGTCTCCACCACACAAACTGGCATATACCAGCACTGAAATGGAATACAAGCCAGTGAGCAAAAAAATAATGTATATTAATGTCCCATAAGTGATTCCTGGTCTTTGTGACATCAACAAAAAGGGAAAGAAAGAGGGAAAAAGGACACAAGCAAATTTATATCATAAATAACAATAATAAAAATTATTATTATTATTTGTGCTTTTTGGGTCACATCTAGTGATGCACAGGGGTTACTCCTGGCTTTGCATGCAGGAATTACTATTGAGGTGCTCAGGGGACCATATGGGATGCTGGGAATCGAACCCGGGTTTGGCCGCATGCAGGGCAAATGACCTACCCGCTGTACCCACACCAGCCCAATATTTATTATTTTAAAAACATTTTTGGAGTCACACCCAGCAGTAATGGTGCTCAGGGGCACCACCAAGGTGTAGGTATGCAGTGCTGGGAATCAAACTCAGTGCCTTACATGTGCAAGGAATGTATTTGTTGCTCTACCACTTGAACCACATTCCCAGTCCTTTAAATATATATATATGTATATATATATATATTTAATTAAGGTCCAGAATCAAAAGCTCAAGTTCAGCAACTTCTCCAGAAAGAATTCTCCATGCTTAGATGTCCTGAGCATATATTGTCCTAGAGCATTTAAAAACATTGTGTGTGTGTGTGTGTGTGTGTGTGTGTGTGTGTGTGTGTGGGCGGGTGGGGGGGGGGTTCATACCAAATAGGGCTCAAAGTATACTACAGGCTCTGTGCTCAGGGGATGCTTGGGGAACATACAGTGCTTTGGGTATAACTTGCGCTTCCTGCAAACAAAATATAAATCCAGCCCATTGAACTAGCTCTCTGACTGCAGCATTTGGAAATTCTTATGGTTTGTCCCCAAGGGACAATTATTAAGACATCAAGCAAAACAGAATGTTCAGCTCCATGTTGGAGTGGAACACTTCTCTCCTCACCTCCAGTTCTAGCTCCTCTGCTCCCAAATATTTCCCAGAGGCTCATGAATCCCTGAAGATCTCCTGCTGTTGACCCACTCCTGGTCCTAAACTAAAGCTTTCTCTCCCTAAAAGAATGTTTGCCTTCGAGGGCTGGAGCAATAGCTCAGAGGGTAGGGCGTTTGCCTCGCACGCGGCTGACCCAGGTCCCCTGAGCACCAACTGTCAGGAGTAATTCCTGAGTGCAAAGCCAGAAATAACCCCTTTGCATTGCGGGGCGCTACCCAAAAAGCAAAAAAAAAAAAAAAAAAAAAAAAAAAAGAGAGAGAGAGAGAGAAAAGAAAAAGTCTGCCTTTTATTCTTTTATTCTGGTTTTCCAGATCTTTGACTTTTCGCTCAGTGAAGAAGACATGAAGAGAATTGAAGCATTGGACAAAAATGTCCGCTTTGTGGAACTGCTCATGTGAGTCTGGGGAATCTGTCATCAGTACTACCTAGAATTTGGACTGCCAAGTGTCAATCAACAAGACCCTTATGAGCCTGAACTCATTTCATAGAGAGCAATAGGGTAAAGAGTGCTGGACAGGATGTTCTTAGTATTAAAGAAATCTGGGGAAACAGATCCACTGTAGGAATATCCGGCTTTTTCCCCCCCTTTTGGGGTCACACCTGGCGATGCAAAAGGGTTACTCCTGGCTCTGCACTCAGGAATTACCCCTGGTGGTACCTATATGGGATGCTGGGAATGGAACCCGGGTTGGCCGTGTGCAAGGCAAACACCCTAACTGCTGTGCTATTGCTCCAACCCCAATTTAAAAGATTTCTGGCACTGACTTTCTATCACTGGGGTTAAGGCATGGTAGCTTAATCACCTTAAGAAGCATAAATTTATAGTGACATCTGTTAATGCAACAGGGGTCCAAGAATATTCAAACAACATATTTAATGTTTTCCTAAAAAATAAAACAATGCAATGATTATATCAGTATATCCACAAAACTAAACTGAGATGCAGGAGAGATATATGAGTATAGTAGAAATAGCACAGGGTAAGGAATCAAGAAAGTAGAGTTTTATTTTTAGAATTTAAAAATTTTCTTTTGGCATTTGCGCAACACCTGGCAGTGCTCAGGGCTTACTCCCAGCAGTTCAAGTATCATTTGGGGTGTGAGAGACGGAACTAGTTGGCCATGTACAAGCAATTGCCCCCCACACTGTACAGTCTCTTCACAAAGTACAGTATTAAACCAATGCCTGCTTGTCATATTCGGAACTTCTGGATTGTATTAGTTGAAGCAAAAATCTATAGCTCTTGAAGATAAATTTCTATTGAATATAATTAAATTAAGAAAACATAGTAAGAGAGAGTGGTTCCACAATCCACTGATTGTTTTATAGACAGCTGGTGAGATTATTTGGTTTAATGTTTGACATATTCAATACCTAATTCTAGCAACACTAGAAAAATAGCTCATTATGCCAGTAAATAACAACAATGAGCATCAAGGAGAAGCACTGAAGTCGTCAACTTAAAAAAAAAAGTATTATTTAGGGATGCTGGGCCATACTTCTTTCACAGATTTTATTCAATTGACATTTAAGAACCTTCTTTTTTTAAAAAAAATAAAAAGGTGTATTTTATTATAAAGTTTGTAGTGTCTACCAAGAACAGAATGATAGGTTTCCTGACAGGCAGGCATACACACACACACACACACACACACACACACACACACACACACACACACTAGTCTATTGATAGACTGTGTTGCCATTGTTATTTAAGATACAGATTCATCATCGACATTATGATGGAAACTTACTTTTGCAGATTTACGTTTTTAGAATCCAAGCTTTCCCTTTACAGGGGGCTAGTGAAAGGGGACATTAAAGGCTCTGACCAGGAGTCATGCCAATTGACAGTAGAGCTTTGAAGAGAACCTGTGGTCCACTGCATTGGAAGGCAGCCTGTGCCAAGTGGGTGGGAGCGTTGAGCAGACAGAGGAGGCATTGCCCTCAGAGCCTCCTGTGCTGAGCCTCCTGCCTTGCACTGGCCATGGCTTCAGAAAAAGGTGCTGACTCCAGGGAAGCAGGGGAGGAGAATGGATGAGAAACAGGGTGGGGAGGAAGAGGTCAGGGGATGCAAGACAGTTGTATATCCTGTGTGGCAAACTTTTTTCTTCGGGGGACTTGTTTTGGCAGGTGGCAAGATCATCCTGAATACCCATTTAAAGAAGAATACTGACCTCAGAGAACTACTCTGAGAACTACTCAGACAACTCCCAGATTTCCCTCTCACCTTTGCAACACAAGGAGTGAAGCTCTGCCCCCCTGAACTGGGAAGACTGTCTGAGGAGATGGTGATGGGAACAGGCTTAAATTTGTACCGTATGTGACTTTGATTTAGCAATGATTCTAATGAAATGTATCTTATTTAACTACCTATAATTACCAGCTGATATTTTATGAGCTCAATGTCTTGTGGGTTATAGGCAGAAAACCATCAGGCTTTAGAAAAGACTTTTAAGGCAGCATTTGAAGCGCATGGCTCATGAATCTGGGTACCGGCAATGTCATCCGCTTTGCTTAGCAGTTCACAGGACAACAAAGAAGTGAAGAGTCAGTGGGCACAGGGCCTGGACAGTTTGAACACAGACTCCACTACAGATGCAGCAGCAATAAAGACCTACCCTTCCAAGGGTTTCTAACAAGCAAGTCGTTTGCTCTACCTTGAGAAGAGAGAAAGCCTAGCACAGTCAAAACAAAGCTAATTAAACACCTCAATGGTCAACAAAGCTATAAAGATTTTGTTATTCGTTGCCATCTGATGTGTTTACCTTTTGCCCTTCTTGAGGGCTGGGTAATTGATGGTCTCTCATGCATCAAAGAGTCTGAGCTCCTGCATAGCTGGTGATTCATACGTCCACTGCCTGTTCATGCCCCATTCATCATACAACTATCATTAATACAGAGTGGCTGGAGACAACCGACACTGGCAAATAAAACCCTACAGCATAAACATAACCATTTTAAAGAGGAGATTTAAAAGGAGACTTTAGAAAGCGCATTGGAAAGAGCAGCATATTCAAACCATGATGCCTTAAAATATACCTTAAAAATATAATTGCGATAACTGAAAGAATACTAGCAATTTTTACCTTATGTAAAAATTTTCAGTGAATAAGATGATAGCTAGAATTCTATGACTGATATGTACTTATTTTCAATTAAAAATAGAACAATATACTTGATCCATCACATTAGAGCTCTCTTATGGAGCAAGAAAATAGCTCAATATTATATGTCCAACACTAATTGCTTTCAGATAATCTTCAATTTCCTGAAAACACATTTCTGAGAAATTATTATATAAGAAAATATTGTATGTATTGTTTTCACTGATTTCAATATTACTACTTGTAATGCTGTTCTTTGAAAAATATTTTGGTTACAAGAAAATATAAATATGCTTAAATTTGGTTACAAGAAAAAATAAAATATGCTGATTTGTTCTGTCACACAATTCTCTGTTTTGTAGCTGGGAGTGAGGGCATAAAATAATCAGAGTTAGTTCTATTTAAAAATCTTTGGTCAGGTTGAAGAGATAGAACACAGATTAAGGCACTTGGCCTAGCATGAAACTGTCACCATGACACTGGTTTGAATTTGGGCACCACATGTGGCCCCCAGGTATCCCCAGGAATGGCCCCTGAACACAGACCCAGCAGTGGCCCCTAAACATTGCTGAATGCAGCCCCAAACTGAAGATAAATCAATTAATAAAAGCTTTGGTCAAGTTCCATCCAACAATTTCTTGAGCTTTGAAATAAAAGGGAAAAAATAGGTACCATAAAGAAAGAACAGAAAGTGGAGTCCAGATCCCTACTGTTAATGTCCTTAAATATTTCAAGGGAGCTGGTGTGAAGGAAAGACCACACCCAGTGAACCATTTTTAAAATAGCATTGTGGGGCTCGAGAGATAGTATAGTTATTGGGGATTTACCTTGTACCTGGACAATCTGGGTTTGAACCTCAGCAACACCTATGGTACCCCGAGCTCTGCCATGAGTGATCCCTGAGTACAGATCCAGAAGTAATCCCTGAGCACCACTGGGTGTGGCCCTAAAACTAAAAAAACAAACCCCATAAAAAACCAAAACAAAATCTTCTAAAGGACAGGCATTGTAAAGGAATCTTGGGGGCCAGAGCAATAGTACATCAGGTAGGGTGTATGCCTTGCACATGGCCAACCTGGGTTCAGTCCCCAGCATCCCATATGGTCCCCCGAGCACTGTCAGGAGTAATTCCTGAGTGCAGAGCCAGGAGTAACTAACCCCTGGGCATAGCTGGGTGTTACCACCCCCCCACACACACACACACAAAAGAAAAGAAATCTCACATTTGTCAGAAGAAAGATAGCTGTGGATTGTTGTTGCTATCCTAACTTGCAATACCTCAGTACATTGGTTTGAAATAGGGCTGACGCACATCTGAAAATTTAGATAAAGTCAGGTTTCTGAACCTGTAACAGGAGAACATTTGGGTACAGACCATACCCAGTAAGGACACCAGGTAAAGGGCCAGGGAGATGGTTCAAAGAGCTGGTGCATATGCATGGCATGCAGAGGGCCGAGTTCGCGTCCTACCACAGCTTTCCCAGCATTGCACAGAGAGTGACTCCTGAGCATTGTCAGGTGTGGTCCAAAGAAAGCCAAATGGAACATTACCCCTTGTAGACTGATGTGGAGGTAAGAGTGGTATTCTTTTTAAAAACAGAACCCCTAAGAGTTCCAGCAAATCTTCACCCAGAAACTAGGGAAGAATCATGGACCAGTGTTTTACTCACAATCTCCGAAGGACCAACCCTGCCCACACATCACTTTAAACTTTGAATTCTTCCTCCTTAACCAGGAAGCAATATGTGTCTATTGTTTAAGTCACTCAGTTCATGGCACTTAATTGGAACAATCCTAGTCAACTTCTATACCATACCTCAGTCAATATTTCCAGGGGCCAGAAAAACCTACGGTAGGTATGGAGTTTGCTTTGCAAACAGCCAACCCAGGTTTAATTGCTGGCATCGCATACGGTGCCTTGAGCACCACCAGGAATAATTCCTCTATGTAGAGCCAGGAGTAACCCCTGAGCATTGCTGGGTGTGGCCCCCAAACCAACCAAATACAAAAGATTTCCAGGCCCGAGCTCATTTGTCACAAGTGAGATCCCCTGGGTTATAGGCCCCAGCATTAAAAAGAAAATTATCTGTCTTTCCAGTTGACAACAGCAATAAAAGCTACCTTACTTATTCATGCTTTGCTGAATCCAGGTGTCGACCACTAATACTAAATACTGAGCTCCAAGGCATAAGGTCCCAAGTTCATTTTCCAACATAGCCTGCCCCCCAGTGCCATTGGAGCCGCCCAGGTGGCCCCCTTCTATCTCTGGATCCTGAGCAGCACTTCACGACCAGATCTGAGCACTGATCTGTCTGGTTTAGTTGGCTGAGTATTGGCAGGGCGGGAGTTAGATAGCAATTTCAAATATTGACACTCATAGGAATTTGTAACACCAAAGAGACGTTTGTTAATCCAATGCAGTCTCTCTTCTGTAAACCACACCAGAGTAAACCACACCAGACAATGGGCACTGGTGGAGGGATGGGTATTCGATCATTGTATAGTTGAAACCCAAGCACAAAAAGTTTGTAAGTCTACAACTGTACCTCATGGTGTTTCACTAATAAAAATTAAAAAAAAAATAAAAGAGTGAGTAAAGGTAAAAAAAAGTCAGAAATTAAATTAAGGTACAATTTTGTATAGTTTATTTTTAATAAATGTCTAAGTCTAATCTAAAAAAAATAAAGTAAACCCCACCAGCAAAGCAATCCTTCCACTTGGTAAGAAAGAAGAGGCCAATATCAAACTTCACTCATGGGTCCATAAAACCTACAGGACAGGAGCCCAGGACTTCCTGTCTCAGCCTGTAGGTAGATAATAAACCAATTTCTGGCTGTGCTGGAGGACCCCCTCCCCCTCGCCCCCCGGCTCCATCCACCCAGAGACAGTGATTCAGAGGAAGAGACCATGGGAGGTCTAAACAATAGTTGTATCTCTGCAGCCTTCAACCCTTTTGGGGTGAACATGTCTTAGGACTCCAGTGATGGGAATTTTAAAAGACTGAGCAGAATGTTTCTGGAACTGCTGTTTCTCTGGAACTCCCTTACCATTTCCGTCTGCTCATGACAGACTGGTTACTCAACCTAGATATCTTGTGGGGGGTGGGGCTCCCATTCCTGAAAGGGATCCCTCTGAATCAGAACTGTGTTTGTTTAATGTTTCTGCCTCCAGATACTGAATACCCCAATTTTTTCTTCTCTTGGTGGGGCCACAGGTGGGGAGAAACTGATAATGATTTGTCCTGATGAACTCCTCTGGGCACTAATCTTTCAGTCATTGTGAGAGCCAAGTTGTACAGTATGATGGAAGGGAAGTAACTGTGATCTTGACAAAAGTACATGAGCCACATGAATGATACTCTTAAATCTGGCAATTAGGAAATTCTCCTACAGGTCTGGGTCTCATCTTTGGAGCATGTATTCCCCTGGATTCTGTCTTGTGAGTTGTTTGGGGGTGGGGGTAAGAGTACATTTTCGGAGCACTTGGAGCCAAGAAGGCCTTTACTTTAAGTCTCATTAAGCATCATATAGGGGGCCAGAAACGAGCATCCTTCCCAGGGGCTGGTGAAAATAAAAAAGGGAGCGATAGCACAGTGGGAGGGCGTTTGCCTTGCATGCAGCCAGCGTGTCTGAGCAGGGTTCAATTCCTCCACCCCTCTCGGAGAGCCCAGCAAGCTACCAAGAGTATCTCGCCCCCACGGCAAAGCCTAATATGCCAAACACAGTAACAACAAGTCTCAAAATGGAGACGTTACTGGGCCCGCTCAAGCAAATCGATGAACAACGAGAGGACAGTGTATGGATTATTATAGTGTATGTACATACATATATTTTGGTGGTGGCGGCGGCAGCAGCGGGCGGCAGGCACAGTGGCGGTGAGAGCAGGAAAGTGCAGTGGCCCGAGGGCTGGAGCGACATCACAGTGGGTAAGGCATTTTCTTTGCACGCGGCCGACCCAGGTTCGATTCCTCTGCCCCCTCAGAGAGCCCGCAAGCTACTGAGAGTATCTAGCCTGCACGGCAAGCTACCTGTGATGTATTCAATATGCCAAACACAGAAACAACAAGTCTCACAATGGAGGTGTTACTGGACCCACTCGAGCAAATCGATGAAGAACAGGAGGACAGTGCAACAGTGCTACATGTATTTTAACTGTGCTGTTAATTTGATAATTTATTGTTGAGCATTTTTGCACTGATTTCCATGCGTGATTGTTCTTATACATAATATTCTTTCTGATATTATTGATGCAGGTGAGGCAGAAGCGATGGTGGGGGGTCTCTGTGTTCATTTATGATTCCCAGGTTCTTCAATATTTTCAAGAATGAAAATATTGAATAATATGGATGCTTAGACTCAGAGTTGTAAAGTAGAAAAGTTTATTAGAAAATAGAAGAGAAAAAAAAAAGAGCTCTTCAAGTGGGGAGGAACTTAGTATAGGGCTAAGTTAAAAGTAAGAGTTTTGTGTAGGCCTTTTGGAAGGCCCTTTGCATTTATCAACAAATATTACAGAGAATGCAGGGAATCTCCAGGGTGGTCAGGTTGGTTTGAGTCTTTCTGGCCATCTGCCTCAGCTATTGGCCATTACTAGTCACCCTGGGAGCCTAAGCTCTGGGGCTGAATTTTATGATGAACAATTGTTAACTCCCTGTTTATCAGAAAAAAACCAGGAATTTGCAGGGAGTCAAAAATGTAGGATGGAAAAGCCAAAGTGGGACTGTTCATGGCAGCTGGCAAGGGTAAACTGAGGTTCCTTTTTCATTATTACCATTTCATTAGGAGGAGAAAGCTTGATTTTCTTTCATGTTCTTCACTAGAAAGCATATTAAATTCAAATTATTTGTTCTAGAAGTCCCAGAGGAAAATTCAGTGTCATAAAGCAGCTGCCTTACCAGTGTGAAGCCACAAATTTGATTCCTGGCTCTGCCCACATATGCCAAGCAAGATCCCTGGTAGATCTGTACAGGACCCTCCTGCACACACGTGTACAATCGCCAGCACACCATAGTCACGTTGGTGCTATCAGCACAACTAAATGTATGAGATAGTCCCTGCAGGCACAAAAACACAAGCATCACAGCCCCAAAGTGTGAATCCCAGCCAACACATGTGTGAACATCACGCAATGCACATCCGCCAGCGAGCACTACAGTCAAAATAGGCTAGGACACAACTAAGAGAGTGTGACGACAGCAATTCTGTGCACGAGCTCCACAACCAAAGGTGTGAGCCTAACAACAAGACTTGTCTGCACCCCCCACAAGCCCCTGGTCATTCCAACAGTAAGAGAGTAGCCACAAAGGGTGTTGGATCCCCAGCTGGCACTGCTCCCCAGACAT